GAACTTTTAATTAAAAGATTTGCAGTTTTATTTTTCTATATCCTGTATGCTCAAGAACCCATATTTTATTTCACACACACACACAAAAAAACTCCTAACCCTTGAATGTTCTTGTATTGTCATTGAAGACCTCTACACCAGTTTGAACTGCAGTTATCTCTTTAAATAGCTTTAGGTTTATAAATGGTTTTTATATTTATGACCACTGACATTGACAACAAGTCCAGTGACAATCCATCAGATGACACACAATATTGAAGTATCTTTCTTTCTCTCTCTCTCTCTCTCTCTCAGGTGGAATTGGCTCTATGGGACACAGCTGGTCAGGAAGACTATGATCGGTTGAGGCCATTGTCGTATCCAGACACAGATGTTATTCTGATGTGTTTCTCTATAGACAGTCCAGATAGTTTAGGTACCTAACCACACACACACAATACTGATTGAAATGCTTACTGACTCCAAACTTCAGAACAGTAAAGACATTCACGTTAAGCTGTTCTTTTGAACTTTCTATTTTTCTATTAAGAATTCTGAAAAAAATAACAATGCATCAAAATTCTCCACAAAAATAAGCTGTGTTAATAATACGAAATGTTTCGTGACAACCAAATCAGCAAATTAGCGTGATCACGGGACACTGAAGAAATGATGCTGTAAATTCAGCTTTGACATCACAGGAATAAATTACATTTTTAAATTAGAATAGAAAACAATTATTTTAAACTGTATTTTGAATCAAATAAATGCAGCCTTGTTGAGCATAAGAGACTAAAAAAAATTGTAAAAACCCCAAACTTTTGAATGCTAGTGTTTATTGGTAGTTTCCAATTCCTGATTCACAGCAAATTCAGTTTTAACTGAGTGTAAGTAATTCAACTTGCACATATTACATTAAAGTAAAATGATTAAATATTAAAATTTCCTTAATTTTCTGTATTAAATTATTTTTTTAAAAATATTTTAACTTTGGCATCAGGTTTCATAATTTATGTTCTGGCCTCTTCCAGAGAATATTCCGGAGAAATGGACGCCAGAGGTAAAACATTTTTGTCCCAATGTTCCCATCATCCTAGTGGGCAATAAAAAGGACCTGCGGAATGATGAACACACACGCAGGGAGCTGATCAAGATGAAACAGGTATGGCAGGTGTGTGTGTGTGTGTGTGTGTGTGCGCGCGCACACACACGCAGATGTTGCCATAGTAACATGAAACAGAGGTTTATAAGACACAGCAGAGGCCTTTTGTTGGCCTTTGCCTTAACAAACAGGACACTTCCTGTCTCTTAAAACCACAAAGGAAAATGGAAATGCAGCTGTTTCCTGTGGGGAAAAAGCTGCCTTCAGGGATTACATCATGCTGAAGGTTTGTTTGTAAGAGTAAGGCAAAAAAAAAACAGTAGTGAAACTTCCATGCTAGTCGTCATATTACTTTTAAATGTATACATGTATCATTTTTAAGTTATTTTCTAATGAGGAAGATTTTAGTATACACTATTTGTACTGTAATGATCCATCATATTCTCCCAAATTGTTCGTCTACTTTTAACCACTTTAAATAGCCACTTTGTGTTTAAAGGGACTGTTGTTTGATCATTTAAGGTAGCCAAGAAACATTGTTGTTAGTGTCTTGGAATGCTCACTGAGCTCAAACCCTGATTTTATCTCTACAGGAATGTGGCAGATTGTAAGTCATGTGACATTCAGAATACTATACTTCTACAGTATGAAATGTTTATTGACGTTCATTGTGTGTTGTAACCTTCGCTTTGAATCAGTATGCAATTACAAAAGTTACATTTTAAATTGATATTAATCTAACTACATGATTTGATTTGGTGCATAAATATAAACAACACAGAATTCAAATATAAGAGGGCAGCTGAAATGGATATTTGCTTTTTATGAAAACATTAGGGTGAAGTTCTAGTATGCTGATTTACTCTTAAACATTTCTTACTATTATCAATGTTGACAGTTATGTTTATTAGCTGAAATAGAAGTCTATAGCATTTATTTGAAATAGAAAGTGAAATGGAAACCTTTTGTAACATCTATAAATGTCTTTATTGGCACTTTTGATCAATTAAATGCAGTTCATTAGTAGACATTGTGTTCACTATTATATGTTGTTAGTGTACAAATGAATCTAGTGAGAGGGTGAGTAGTTTATTTTCTAAAAGAATGCTTCCTCTCATCGTGCACATGTTTTTAGGAACCTGTAAAACCAGAGGAGGGCCGTGACATGGCTAACAGGATCAGTGCATTTGGATATTTGGAGTGTTCGGCTAAAACTAAGGATGGAGTGCGTGAGGTGTTTGAGATGGCCACCAGGGCAGCGCTGCAGGTGCGCAAGCGGAAGAAGAGAGGCGGTTGCCTACTGTTATGAGTCCCCCCCACCCCACACACACACACACCTCCATGTTCCTTTCTGCAGCTGACCCAAGGAAAAAGCTACAGTACCTGCTGCGCACCACATGTCTCGCAATCCAGGAGTGGATGACAGAAAAATATTTATAAAGAAACCAAAGTGTGTGTCAGTACCCAATGCCTCCTCCTTGCCATCTTTTTCTCTCTTTTTTTCTTTTCTTTTCACCAGCATACTTTCCTTCCTTTCTTCCTTCTCTGGAAGAAAGACTGTTATTAATTTTGTATTTGTACATAAATCTCTGTATCTCTCGGCTCTGGTTTACAGTTATTCTAATGCCTCTGTATATGATGCTCAGTGATTTAAGTTTGAAAAAAAGAAGCAAAAATACATTTATCATTCATTTAAACTGCCAGCCTGTACTCTGTGTGTCTGTTTTTTGACTGCTGATTTTGGGACTGTTCAACTGCTAAACTTTCTTTATCTTTGTCCAATGGAGTTGCCCTTAAGGATCGATTGCATATCTATTTTACGTGAATGAAATTTAGGCTGTAAGGAATAGATGTAGTCTGATCACTAGGTTTACTGTTATACATATTTGTGTTTGCTTTGCAAAAGAAAAAATATATATACATGGACAAAAATGCTCAAGTTTATAATTTTGTGCCAAGTATAAACAATTTTTAATGGTTTTCAGGCTAAAACTAAATTAGCATTACGTGCTAACTAAATTAGCTGGTCTGCTCAGGATGGTGTGTGTGTGTGTGTGTGTGTGAGAGAGAGAGAGAGAGATGCACTATGAGATAAAAAGTAATATATAGCCTATCTCACAACTCTTGAGGGGGGAAAAGGTCAGAATTGCAAGTTATAAACTAGAAATTGCGAGATTTAAACAGACTGTAAAAACATAATGGACAAAGCGTGTGTAACATCACCTAAAGACTTTCTGAAGAACGGTTTTGAGGCAGTTTATGGGGGGTATGGGTGGCGCCATCTTGGGAAATCCTAATCCCACCCACCTTCTGGCCAATCCATATATGGGTAGAAGGGCAGGCTTTGTGTGAGACATAGCAGGCTGGTGGACTTTAGCCAAGCAGTCTCTGCAATCTGTAACGTTACAAGATGGACTGGCAGACTAGGCTACTTTTTACAGTCAATATTGACCCTACCAATTTTGAACTCGGACGTGTGCTTTAATCCGTTGCGGAGACTCACTCTATTCGTTCAAGTGAAATCCCAACGTAATGCACACAATGTCCCTGCTTGATATACAACCACTGATAAACATAATCTGTTTTAATGGGATAGAAAAAAACTATACGAGTACGGATTAGAACCCAGAACCTAGGACAGGCTTGGCAAGTTCTGCCTCTGGACCATTAAAGTGCATGTAATGGTTGGATTTATGTATTTCTTCACAAACCTCGAATTCTCACCAACAATGACATATTAGATCTCATTAAACGACAAATTAAACACAATGTACTATTTAAATCTTTTCTGGACATCGGTATGTTACAGTAGTACGTACATCTGATTTATGATTTAGCATTATTAGCCCCCCCACCTGTAACTACCTCGGACGCTAACTTATCTGGGGTGATTTAATCCTAACTGTTGCAATTCCACTGCCCACAAACATTGATGCTAAATAGTGCAAACTACGTGAAATAGTAGTGGAATGTAACTTACCGTAAAAAAAATGGAGCGAACTCCTACAGGGTCGGTAAGTGCAGTTTATAGCAGAGCAACCCATTTTATTTCGATATTTCAATACAAATGTTCAGAAAGGATACAGAGGTGGTAGGCTATGATGTGTGTCAGATCATACGCTACGGCAGCGCCATCTTTGATTTTTAATGAGAATGAAAGCGAGGCTGTGAGGGATAGACTTGCATCTCTTAAATGGGCTGTACTGTTAGTTAATGTGTTTTTCGGATTGTTCAGCTCATGAAACACTGGAAAAATATCTTTTCAAGAAATGTCAGGTGACAAAAAACTCCCGACAATGTAAGCTGTGGAAAATTGTAAGTAATCTAGCCGCTTTATTCAGCTTTTTACAGCTGATGCCTATTGGAAACACAGTATGTCTATCCCTCACAGCCTCACTTTCATACCCGAGTCCGACATGGCGCCTATGACGTCACTCGGCACACCCCGCTATCAGCTTTCAATCAAGCTTTCAATCAAAGTTAACCACGCCCTTATAGAGTGTCAAAATTATGACGTCACTTTGTTTTTTCGCGTCAAAACGCGAAATTGAGTAAGCATTTTTATCAATATATATGATTAAAATTCTGTTATGTGCAAGCCCTGAAATTTACACATTTAAATTCACAGAAATTTAAGCCAAGTCAATGTTTTGGGTACAAGTGTATCATACAGTCTGACTTGAAATGGTTGATTTTGTTGTTAAAGGGTTAGTTCACCCAAAAATGAAAATTAAGTCATTAATTACTCACCCCCATGCTGTTCCAACCCCGTAAGACCTTCGTTCATCTTCGTTCATTCATCAAGATGAACGAAGGTCTTACGGGGTTGGTACAGCATGGGGGTGAGTAATTTAATGTAGAAATAAAAATGAACTATATCATCAACAAAAAAAAACAGTGGTTTAAAAATCAGTCCACGTGGTCTTTTTTTTTTTTTTTTAGAGTAGATTAAAGTATTTTTGTACAGTAAAAATCGTAGTGTGCACCATGCTTAGATTGGGCAGATCTAGGATTTCAATGCTAGCTTCAAAAGAAGGTGGGTGTAGAACAGATGTGGCTAGTGAAGACTGGCTCTTAGTAATCATGTCTCCATTCAGGATTCAGGTGTTGTTGGACCACACTCTCCTCAGTTTCCACTAGGGGGAGAAAGAACACAACAGTCAGTTTTTTTCACAACTATAAACTATAAATTACCATAGAACAAGATTGCTGGTAACTTTTCAAATTGAGCAGAAGCCAATTATAACCATATTAAAAGTTATATATTTATTTGAGATATAATTTTTTAACTGTGATTGAATTCAGTTTGACTAGTTCATTAAAGTCTTAAAAGCCCTACAAGATCTTCCTTTATGAAAGTGGGAAGCATTATGATCAGGAGATGTATATGTTTTTGTTTGCTGACAACCGGTTCTGAAAAAAAAATGGAGGAAAGAAGATTCCTGTTTGCAATGCATTTGTAATTTGACACAATGTGATGTTTTTGGCAGAACATCAAGACATGCATGCTACTCAATGAATTTTCTTTTTTTTAAATGAAGACTTCCCAGGTATTTTGAGGGTATTACACTAAATCAAGTTATTATTATTTTTAACCCAAGAAAGATCATTTCTGAAATCTACAGTAGCCATTAAAGTTGTGGCATGAAAAACAGGTTTAAGTCAAACGCCGTGTTGTGACTGCCAAAGGTTTATAATTACAGCTTGTCTCACCATTCTCATCGTCAAAGTTGAGAGCAAGAAGCCGCTTTTCAACCTCCTCTATGCCCTCTACACTAGTAAAAGGAAGCCCGGTGTAACCTCCCTGCTCGAAGCAGAAGTCAATAAACCTATAAAAATACAAAAGAGACACAAGTCATTTAGTCAGTTTCTCATCAGGGTTTGTATTTCATCCATGTGTAAGTTGCAAGTGTACAGTAATTACCGGCCCCAGATTTCATCTGTGCGCAGAATGAAGGGGTTTCCCACCATGATGAGCAGGGACTTTGCTCTTGTCACCGCAACATTGAATCTCTAAAGAACAAGGCATAAATTCAAGACTAAAGTGTGTCAGAAAGAGCACATTCACAATATAGCACACAACTTAGTTCAAGTTCACATCATTTTGTTATATTACACTACCCTTGTAAAGTTTGGGGTCTGTACCTTCTCATTCTTGAGAAACCCAATGCTGAATGTTTCATCGAAAGTGATGTATTCCTTGCTGCTCCGAACAGCTGACACCATGATGACTTTCCTCTCTTGGCCTTGAAACTCCTCCACGGAACCAACCTACACAACACACAGAATGCACAAAGGGAGACGGATATGATTCTGTCCTAAATTAAAGATAAAAATCCATACCAGAGTCTCTACTAACTTTAAGGTCATTAATGCACATGCACTTTTGGAGGTCCTCTTCTGATCTGATGGCCTGTCTGATCTTCTCCACCTAGGAAATGAAACCCCAGAGAAAGTTAAGTGATGGTACAGACCATCAGAGATTTAAGAGAAGTGTTTTAACTGCTATTTTTTGGTGACAGAATAGGGCTGTCCAAGAGCAGGCTCCACCTGTTTCCTGTAGGGGGCGATGATGCCAATTTCTCTAGGGGAGATTCTAGAGATTCCCCTCTTGGCCTGTGTCAGGAGCAGCTTCTTCAGGTAATCTATGATGATATCGATTTCAAAGATGTTAAAGAATGAGGGGCTGTTCGACTCTCTTTCATCCTTCCCAGGAACTCCATGGAAAATCACAGGAAATTCCTGAGGGGGGAAAAAAAACTGGGTAATCTCCAGGAAACTGATTTAACTATAGTCACTAAAGTGCTGTTTAATTTGTCTCATACTCTTTTGGGCAGGTACTCCCAAGTGCAGTACTGGTTAGAGCTGATCTCATTTGCACATGCCTTCAACTCCCCATCATAGAACAACTCATTAGGAACCTTCAGAATGGATGGATGAGACCTGAAGAGAGAGAGAGAGAGAGAGAGAATAAAATAAGTGCACACTATGGTCTATGTAATTTTAAAATTTGGTCCTACAAATGCACAATATTAAAATTGTCATGGTATATCTGAAAACAAATGTGAAATAAATGTTATCTTTAATATGTGTGTGACCATCATAAGAGAGCACACACAAACCTTATTCTAATATGGAATTCTATTGGAATGTTAAAGAGTGTTGATATGTGACTTCCACTCAATTAAAAAATGATGAACAAGTCTAAGACTAAACTAGGTTAATGGCTTAAACGGGATTGTTTTGAACATAAGCTGAAAACGAAATCAGAGTGATTCTGCCAGAGCCCGTCTCTGATCCTGCCAACGACTGTAGTTTCCATCACCTCCCAAAAGACGACGAATCTTCCTGTGTACATTTGTTTAAATTCTTAATATTCTATAAACTCTATCAGCATGTGTTTGGCTGTTTTCTACTGATGTTACACCTAAACTCAGGATCAAGCCTGTGCTGACAGAATACCAAATGTGCCAGTTAATGTATTCAAGCAGCACATTCATTTATAATTTTGAATAAACTCCAAAGCACAATGACTAAGTGTGTATTTTTTATTTTAATTGTTTGTCAGCTCACACAACTGTCTGTCACCATGCCTTGATGAGTATTGATTATTAATAATGTTATTATAATACTCCCAATCAACTACTGTGGAGGGTAAAGGTACTGTTATTTCACCCTTTTTAATTTCGTTGAGGTTGTGTTCCCACATCGTTAGCTAGTTTGGATCGCTATAACTTGAATGACTGTCAACTGTTGAATGAACGAGTGTCAAGCATGTCAAATCGCGCTTTGTTTACTTCCAACCGGAAGTCGCGCCCACTTTTGACGCAAGGCCTCATGGGGCGTAGGAAACTTGTGGATATGTTTATCAAGCGACGCGAATACTTTTTGTGCGAAAAAACAAACAAAAATAACGAGTTTATTCGACTATTTCTTTTCCTCCTTGTAGGCCAGAACGAGACTTCCTTAGATTTCCACGACGCATGCGCGAGATTTGCTATCTGCTCACACCAGCTTCACTACTTCAGATCGCAATTCTCGCGCATGCGTCGTGGAAATCTATAAGGAAGTCTCGTTCTGGCCTACAAGGAAGAAAAGAAATAGTCGAATAAACTCGTTATTTTTGTTTGTTTTTTCGCACAAAAAGTATTCGCGTCGCTTGATAAACATATAGTTGAGCCACGGTAGTCACTTGGGATATTTAAACATTTTCTTCATTGACTTTCTGGGCCGTCAAGAGGCAGTCCCTTAGGAGCCAATGTGGTAGTTATACAGCTCTCAAATTTAATCAAAAATATCTTCATTTGTGTTCCGAAGACGAACGAAGGTCTTACGGGGTTGGTACAGCATGGGGGTGAGTAATTAATGACTTAATTTTCATTTTTGGGTGAACTAACCCTTTAAGACACAACAGTTAACAGAGTTAAGAGTTAACAGTGACACAATTGGAAATATGTGTCTCTCTTTCAGTGATATATTATTTGCCACAACACTAACAAATAGACAATATAAAAAATCTTTACTATTTATTTAATTATATACCATACACAGCAAATTTCAGGAGTTGAAAAATCATGAGTTAGGCAAAAAAGTGTGAAAGAGTTAATTTTTTGGAGTTATTTTTTTAACTCTGACTACGGTTTGTGTTATTGGATACTCCCCGGCTGTGTTGTATTTTGGAGTTCATTCATTGGTGTTCAGGAGCGTGTTTTAACACTACACCTGGAGTTATTTTTGAGAAGTGCTTCACGACACGACCCTGCCGCTGCACAAAGGAATAATGGACTTACGCTTCGTCGTGAGGTATGTAAAACTAAAGTGTAACTTATATAAAACTATTTAAAAAATATATTTTCTGACAAACACGTTTGGTCATCGCGTAGCTGTTACGTTACAGGCTACTTTGTTTACTAATTAACGTCAACGACCATGACAAACTTGCTGTTGAACGCATGTTTAAATTACTTGTTTCAAATTTTGAAATGGCTATTTGCGTGGGTTTTTTGTCGATGTAAACGAGTTAACATTAGCTAACCGTCTTTCCATTCACAGTGTTTCTGAAAATGAGTGTTTTGCCGTGAAATTGATGCATCAATGCATTACAGGCAATTGAATTGTAACAGCTATGTTACGTTAGGCTATATTAGTGGTGACCCACGATGTGCGTGATTTTCAGCTTATATATTTTGCATTCTCAATGAATGGTGCCAGATTATATTATGCCTCATGCTGTTGTTTTGTGATCTTCAGACGACTGTCCTGCAGCAAGCGGTTGAAGGTTACTCCTCCTCAAGTCTGAACCAAATGGATTTGCTCAAATAAAGGCAGTAAATCAAGAGTATGGTGTCCAGTGTAGTAATTTCCACACAAAACATTATATTGTGTTAAATAAATGTTAACTCTAAGAAGTGTTAAACTAAACTGGTAACACTGGTAATGAGTTCATATAATTAATTTTAGAGTTACATTTACTCTCTGTAGGATTAGTATTTTAACTCCATTTTAACTCTGAAAAAAGTGTTAAAAATTCAACTCCAAGAGCAGAGTTATTTTAACTCTGCGCTGGAGTCTAATTGATGGTCTCACATGTACACTCAGATTGAGTTGATTTTAACTAACAGGGAGTTTATTCCAAAAACCAGAATTTGCTGTGTACTATTCTAAAACCTGTATTATTATTCTTTTTTTGTATTTATTCTTGGTCTTAACACCTAGAAGGTAGTCTAAATAATTGAAAATTTGTCTAAATAAATAAAAAAGCTTATTTCTACCATGGATTAAAAAAAGATATGTAATTGCAACTTTTTATCAAACAATTTTGACTCTTTTTCTTGCAATTGCATGTGATTGACAGGCGGTCCCGCTCTTATTATTTTTTTGAATAAACTGCCAAACTCCATAAAAATAAGAATTATCAATTTTGATTTGATGGTGAGTAAGAACTATGCACACCGAAGTGCCCTACCTGTAATTTAGAAGAAGTTTGGTAACGTAGCGTTTGTCAAACTCAATGTCATCTTTCTTATAAAGATCATTCTGTGTCATCAGCCTCTCCAGCAAAGAGACATCTATAAGGAAAGACACACAACTCCAGATTACAATACAAAACGATAAAACACACCACTTTGCTTATCCCTCCATTTTTCTTATTTACAACAGTCATAATTAAGCGCTTTAAAGCTTAGATGGTAAACAATAATGCAATTTTTTGGGAATATAATCCATTGCAAACATAATTTCAACATGAAATGAATTAGCTTATAGGTCAAGTGTGTGATGTGTCTGTATGTTCATCTCACCAAACCCATGATTAATGGCAAGAGGAGACCTCAGAATTGGTCCCAACTGCTTGGGATCTCCAGCCAAAACAAGCTGCCCGGTCTCTACATTCAGCAGTCCTAAACACACCCAATGAGACAATGTAATGATTCAAAAAACGGATCGCATTACTATAAGACTTATTACAGTACATATTGTTGGCAAATAGAGTAAACACGCATTTGAGTGAGAGTGGTTGCCCACCTGCCACACTGATGATGGTCTCTGACTCCACAGCATGTCCTGCCTCATCCACAAAGATGTGAGAAAAATGATCCACAGGAATACCCCCACTGACCAGCCTACCAACACAGATACAGTGATTACTGACCGCTGAAAATCATATCAGTTTATAGAATTTGTATAAGATGACGCCCTTCACCTGCCAGCGGTGACTATAGTGCTGACCAGGATCTTGTAGGACATTAGATCCTCTTTACATGGGAAAATAATCATCTCTCCCTCCGCATTGCAGTTGTTCTAAACACACACACACACACACACACAGACAATCAAAATAAAAGCAAACTAGCATATAGTAACTCCATATAGCATTTGGTCACCTATACATGAATTTCACTGCATTACATAAAGGGTGACTAAATTTTTTTTTCTGTATTCACTAACCTTTAGAATTTTAGGGATTTCTTTTGGATTGCGTGAACTAGCGTAGAGTCGGTATATTTTACGTGCATCAACATGTTGACTAGTGATCAACTTTTCACACAGTTGATCAGCTGCACTGTTAGAAGGAGCGCAAGCTAGGATATAGGCATCGGGTATATTCTTCTCCACCTGAGAGATGTTGAGAAACAGGGAAACAAACAGAAGGAGTGACTGAATGCATTAGCTTTTACCAACATGACATCATGACTTTTGCGTAAACATACACGCCAATTTCGAGTCAAGTGGCGTGTTATCTCGACGCATTTTGAGCTATCCGCGTGTATGTCTACGCCATTAACATCCGCGACTTGTACATCTACATCTGGGGAGCTATGTTTTTCTTTCCTACGATGGTAAGGGAACAGTCATAAATGCCATTAACCCCAGTGACAGTTAGGTTTAGGGACAGGGTTGAGGTAAGTCATATATTTATATATACAGTAATAACGTTAAGTCAACGGCGTTCAAAAACACGCTGAAAAGCGATTATGCGTGTTGATAGCACGCCAAAAATGGAAATACGAATTGGCGTGTCATACACACGCTACTTCATGAGATCAGTCTGCTTTTACACTAAAATATTTCATGCAGGCAAGTTTAATACCATATAACATTTTCATGCAGGCCCGGGGGTGTGTTTACTTTGGTGTGTTTGATAACCAGTTTTACCTGTTTGATGGCCTCTACTATCGTGACAGTTTTACCAGTGCCAGGAGGTCCAAACACCAGGTGGGGTGCCGGCTTGGACGTACCGGCCACGATGTTACATACAGCGCTGTACTGTTCAGGGTTCCTCTCAAGCTGTTGATCAAAGAGTCTAGAGACACACACATTGTGCTGAAACACTCAATGTTTCCCTCTGAAGGTTTAACAGAATAATAATAATAATAATAGCATATTAATAGCACTTCTGGATCTTACAGACCTGAGTGTAGGTGGAGACACAGGGGTCACATTCCTTGAGCCCACGGGGAACAGCACATCTCTGAGGTTGTGCTGGACCGCCATGTGTACAGCTCTGTGTTGCAGTCTCAATGGAAGACGATTCACCGTGAACTCCACACGGAATTTCATATTATCTATGTATACATGGTCAATGAACCTTAACACACACAACAAACACATTTTCTATGAATAGACATCTCATGATGAAATGACTGATTACACTGCCCTGCTTCTTGAAAAAAATTCTAGTTATTTGCAAAAAAAAGACCTAATGCTTCAAAATGCATATCATATTTCGCGAGGAAGTGTGTGTGCTAGAGCAAAGCAGGCGTCATTTTTGGAATCAGCACCCCAATTTGAGTTCAAAAACAAAACAAAAAACCAACAACAACCAAGTATTGAATTGCATACCTTCTGGAGAAGCCTAGTTTGACTTGATCCAGTTCCACTTTGTGGACGTAGCCCTTGTATTTGGTCACGTTTGAGAACTTGACCTCCTCACTCTTGGTGAGAAGCAGGTGATCTCCCCTCAGGACTGATGGCCTGTTCTCTGATACACCGGGGAGCTTTAACAAACGAGATACACAAAGAGACCTCAAAAAAACGTGCAATCTCCAACACAGGAAGTGCTTTAAAACAGACATTTCCACTCACGTTTAAGACCAGTAGTGTTTTGTCAGTTTTGTCCCTGTATAAGGTGACTTGCTCTCTGTTGTATCTCTTGATGTCCACATGCATCTGACATTCCTCCAAGTGCAGCAGTAAATCAAAGCGTTCGGCATAATTATGGAAGCTCAGCGGACTCTGCAGTAATGATCTAGACATCACCAAACACATTAAGGAATATTATAATATAGTACATCACACTAGGAACACAGAAAATAAGTATGGAACATATGAAACACACAGCGAATATATATATACTCTCAGAAATAAAGGTACAAAAGCTGTCACTGGAGCTGTACCTTTTCAAAAAGGTACACTTTGGTACCCAAAGGCTGCATATTGGTACCTTAGTGGTACATTTAAGCACCTAAAATCTATATATTAACACCTAAAATGTACATATTAGCACCCAAAATGTACATATTAACACTTAAAATGCACATATTAGCACTTAAAATATGCATATTAGCACTTAAAATATGCATATTAGCACCTAAAATGTACATATTAGGACCTAAAATGTACATATTATGACATGAAATGAACATATTAGGACCTAAAACGGACATATTTGCGCCTAAAATAAACATATTAGGACATAAAATGTACATATTAACAACTAAAATGTACTTTTTAACACCTAAAATGTACATATTAACACCTAAAATGTACATATTAGCACCTAAAATGGACAAAAGTTTACCTTTTGAAAAGGTACAGCCCCAGTGACAGCTTTTGTACCTTTTTTTCTGAGAGCGTGTATATATATATATATATATATATATATATATATATATTAAATGGTTATTTTAAATGGTAATAATACTATTTCACTTGAATGACACTTACTGAAGTTCCTGCAACTTTCCTCTGAGGATCCGGTCAACTTTCATGAGTTTGGCCAGCACAGGGATGTCAAGAGGAGGAGTGTATTGCCCCAGTGGCAGAACACTTTCAAGATAGTTCTGAACATAACTACAGCATTGAAAAACACATGAAAATACTCACATATAAATAAAAGCATAAACAAAGCTAAAATATGTATTTACATTTCTATAACTTTAAGGAGCAGGACTAAATATTTCAATGTCGTATAATTTGTATTTACTATTTATTTAATTTTCATTTTTATTATTATTTTAAAAGAATAACTTTGATAATATTTGATATTTTGTTTACAATTAAACAGTCATCACATGATAATACTGTGTGAGGTTTCTCTTACCCTTCAGGTGGAACACCCTCGTCCACTCTACAGTTTTCGGGTTCAGAGATGTTGAGTCTCAGGGGTTTGAATGGTTCAGTAGGACCCAGTAGCGCTGCAAGCTTAGTCCTGTACTCTGCCTCAATGAAGCGCACAATGTGGAAGGGACGGGTGGTGGGCTGGGTGTTCTGCTTAAACTCAAATGCCAGAGTAAGTGAATAAACTCCAAAATGACTGCATTTGAATCTCACAGTCACCTCATACTTTTCACCTATTTAAAAAAAAACAAAAAAACAAAAACAAAGAGTTAACCTTCAATTCTGATAGATTACATTTAAGGAGTCAAACCAGAATATATTATATATTCAAATGTAACCTCTAAACAACATGGTGCAAATGGATCAGTACGTCAAGTGTCGTCCACACTCACGTGGTTCCAGGCGGAGTTCGTTGTTGCGTGTGACTTTCTTGCTGTCTTCCAGAGTGAAACACTGCAGCCAGTGAAGAGCAGTGTAGTAAGTGAAATACACGGCCTCTTGACCCGTGTTCTCCACAAACAGCTTCAGCTCGTAAACTTCTGCCCGTTCCACAGAGATCTGGATCTTTCCGTCCTTCATATACAGCTCTGAGGACACCTTCACCCCATGCTTATCAGCTATAAAATAGGACCTGTTGACAAGCATTACGGTTTTGAGATGTTATTATATAAATAAGCACTTTTGCAATTTTCCCATAATGAGATAATAATAATAATAAATCCTAATTACTATTTGCCTGTGTTTTATATCCAGTCTTGTTAAAGGACAAAATGTTTGAAGTGTCCCAGCTCACTTGTCTATACTGTTCAATCGTTGTAGGATGTCTTTCGCCAATCTTCTCCTTCTTCTGACTCCACTCTCTGGGCCTGGACCGGAGGCCTCCTGGCCACTAGGAGGCGGCGGTGAGCTAGCATTACTCGGAGCGGGAGTAGCTTGGTTTTGCTGTCTTCCACAGCGTCTGAACCATTGATCATGCAGCCTCACCCGGACCTGGATGGACCTTTTTCATGAGTTCACTACATCTAAGCTGCATCATATATTTTGCATAATCTCAAACTACATTAAACAATAAAAGCCAGTCTTTACATAAGTAATACATTTTAAACTGAGCACAGAAAAATGTACTTTGTATGTTCTTCAACTCTCCATATAACTTCCAGGCAGTGAGAACAGTAGTCTTTCCTTGTATTCAATGGCAAGGTGTGTTGTTACACTATATTGTCATATGGGGAATCAGCAAATAAATACACTCACCGGCCACTTTATTAGGTACCCCATGCTAGTAACGGGTTGGACCCCCTTTTGCCTTCAGAACTGCCTCAATTCTTCGTGGCATAGATTCAACAAGGTGCTGGAAGCATTCCTCAGGGAGTTTGGTCCATATTGACATGATGGCACCACACAGTTGCCGCAGATTTGTCGGCTGCACATCCATGATGCGAATCTCCCGTTCCACCACATCCCAAAGATGCTCTATTGGATTGAGATCTGGTGACTGTGGAGGCCATTTGAGTACAGCGAACTCATTGTCATGTTCAAGAAACCAGTCTGAGATGATTCCAGCTTTATGACATGGCGCATTATCCTGCTGAAAGTAGCCATCAGAAGTTGGGTACATTGTGGTCATAAAGGGATGGACATGGTCAGCAACAATACTCAGGTAGGCTGTGGCGTTGCAACGATGCTCAATTGGTACCAAGGGGCCCAAAGGGTTCCAAGAAAATATTCCCCACACCATGACACCACCACCACCAGCCTGAACCGTTGATACAAGGCAGGATGGATCCATGCTTTCATGTTGTAGACACCAAATTCTGACCCTAACATCCGAATGTCGCAGCAGAAATCGAGACTCATCAGACCAGGCAACGTTTTTCCAATCTTCTATTGTCCAATTTCGATGAGCTTGTGCAAATTGTAGCCTCAGTTTCCTGTTCTTAGCTGAAAGGAGTGGCACCCGGTGTGGTCTTCTGCTGCTGTAGCTCATCTGCCTCAAAGTTCGACGTACTGTGCGTTCAGAGATGCTCTTCTGCCCACCTTGGTTGTAACGGGTGGTTATTTGAGTCACTGTTGCCCTTCTATCAGCTCGAACCAGTCTGGCCATTCTCCTCTGACCTCTGGCATCAACAAGGCATTTCCGCCCACAGAACTGCCGCTCACTGGATGTTTTTTCTTTTTCGGACCATTCTCTGTAAACCCTAGAGATGGTTGTGCGTGAAAATCCCAGTAGATTAGCAGTTTCTGAAATACTCAGACCAGCCCTTCTGGCACCAACAATCATGCCACGTTCAAAGTCACTCAAATCACCTTTCTTCCCCATACTGATGCTCGGTTTGAACTGCAGGAGATTGTCTTGACCATGTCTACATGCCTAAATGCACTGAGTTGCCGCCATGTGATTGGCTGCTTAGAAATTAAGTGTTAACGAGCAGTTGGACAGGTGTACCTAATAAAGTGGCCGGTGAGTGTATATGCTTTTCAGTTAATTCTTAAAAAAGTTAAACTTTTAGGTAAATTTAATTTGGTAACACTTCACAATCATTAGTTAACTCCCATAGTGTAGAATAAACATACTTCTACAGCATATACTCATCTTAATTAATTAATTTCAACATTTACTAATACATGATTAAAATCAAAGGTTGTTTTTGCTAAAAAAATAAATAATGCACTGCACAAACATGAACAAACAATGAACATCTGTATTTTATTAACTAACATTAACAAAGATTAATAAATCTACTGTAACAAATGTATTGCTCATTGTTCATGTTAGTTAATAGGTCAAATAATGTTAACTAATGAACCTATTGTAAAGTGTTACCAGAATTTTTTTTTTTTTTAAATTATAACTAGCCTATAATTTATTTTCCTCGCAGGATTTACATTTATGCTTCTGAAAACTAGGCTACATGTCCCCAACACTTGGGCCGAAGTGCGTCTGAATCATGCCTGAACAAAATAAAAAGGGAAACAAACTCATGACTTTTACCTAGTAACAGACAGGTTAGCTGAATTATTCAAATGAAGAACCAAACACTTTATAAAAATGATGTAAGAATCATGTCACCTTTAAAGGCCATTCTATATTATTTAAAATGCTTTAGGCTACTTTTTTGCTGGTGGAATTCTCTGTGATTAATCTCTTCTTTATAAGTACTAGAACTTGGGACTAAATTGGCCCAAGTTTTAGAGTATAAAAGCATAACTTTAAGTGTAACAGTAGTTTTTGAGTGGATAACTAGTTTAAAACTTACTTGTGCGTGCAGTACAAACACAGTTTTTTTTTTTTTTTTGGGACTGCAAATATATGCCTACTACAAGTGAACTTATAGGTAACTGGAGGAGGTGGTCTGAGTTCGGTTGTTCCCGCACCGTGCCGCGGTTCGCGTGAATGTGAAATCAGCACGGACTCGGGTGCGCACTTGTTCAGGAAGTAAAGTAACCTGCGCATGCGTTTTAGCTTATTATGTATTCAGTTAAATAAAACACGTGATGATGATTTAGATGAGACTGAGCCTGCAGTCTATTCGTGCATTGAATTTGAGCGTGAAATCAGGGCACCAAATTTGGAAATCCACTGTCTCCTCAAAAGGGTCCGTTTACAATCATACCGCAAAATATCTTTACTCCGAGTCCGGTGCAGAACGCCACCTGTCAGTCACACACGCACAGTAAACCTGCATTGTTCACTCAACTGCAGATAATAATAAAAAAACACTATATTGACGCGTTCTGATTTCTAATATGCACGCAAACGCACCAAGGTTCGCCGCAGCAAACGAGCCCATGTAAAAGCCCCCTTCATTTGGATCCAGACCAGCTTCCCCTTCTTGATTTCACCCTGTGTTACAGTTTGCTTTATGGGGAATTTCCATAGACATGATAACTATTAAATAATATAAAAATAGGCTAATGTAACTATTAAATATCCTAACCCTACGCCTGAACGAGAAAACTTTCTGAATTTAAAAAGAGAAAGAAAGAAAGAAAGAAAGAAAGAAAGAAAGAAAGAAAGAAAGAAAGAAAGAAAGAAAGAAAGAAAGAAAGAAAGAAAGAAAGAAAGAAAGAAAGAGAAAGAAAGAAAGAAAGAAAGAAAGAAAGATTTCTTACGTTGCTGTTAAAGAAAACGTGACCAGATCTGGAAAGACGCGCTTTGTTGCCGTTTCTCAATGCAAAGATGACTCTAGAGAATTGTGGGTCTTTGACACGACCGTCCCTGTTAAGACAAATGTGCAACTGATTATGCTTGTTCATTTAACTGACAATTAATAAAAAACGTCCACTGATGTGCATCAGTGTTTTACCTGTCTCGAAACTCTTCGTTGTAGATGTCTCTGAGTGTGTTTCTGTCAGTAATGGATCTCCTGTTTGTTTCCTCTATGAACTCTATGAAATCCAATCCAATTGCGCGCACAGCGGCTATAGAGAGATAATTACTCCTGTTTCTTCTGTTCATTCTGTTGAATACCTAAAGCTCGCAGGTCAACACACTCTCTCATATGAACCGCAGGCACAGGATATTTTGCGGAAGAGTTATTTCCAGGGAAAGCGAAACTTAAGCTTAAGTCTATAACAGGATACTTTTGCGCATCCATATGTATGGGAAAATACGATATGAAGTGTATAAGACGATAGTACTCTCAAAACAAAAGTTGCAGAATTATATAAATATACTTTTTTTTTTTTTTTTTAACTTTTTTTTTTATTCCGCGCCACCTTTGGACCAGAGAGCAGCACTACAGATAGATAACAAATATTGGACACGACTGCCCTGCTGAAAAGAGACATCAGTCAGCTTAGGTTTGGAGACCACCAGAAACTGGCTTGGCCAAGGAAGGCAGACCAGTTTGTCTTCCCATATGTACATGTATAAAATATAAACATATGCACATATAGTAAAAACATACAGGATATGTATATACACAGCTATTATAAACCTATTCGAAATTTGAACCATTCCATATAGATTTATCCAAATATGTGTTTATGTTTATTTTGACATGTATGAAGTATCCTTATATATTAATATAAAAAACATTATTGTACATACTGTATATGCACAGCTTTATATGAAACCTATTAGAAATTTGAACAATTCCATATTGATATACACTCCCCTAAAGGATTATTAGGTACACCTGTTCAATTTCTCAATAATGCAATTATCTACCAACCAATCAAACAAACCAATGGGAACAAAATCAAAACCATTATCACCATAAATTATTAAGTATTATTAAATGAATGCTGCTATGTTTTGTCTGAAAGTTTTAATAAATAAAGACCTTCATTTTTAGTAATCAGTGATTTATCAATCATGTTTTATGTGCTCATATTTATTTAGCCTAATGTATCTAAACATATAAACAAAATTGGATATAAAGCCCTGAGTTGAAAGGACAAGTTTGCAGATTTTCAACCGTATTTTCAATTGCATGTCTATATGTAAATGAACAATGTTTACTTTTTTAATGTTACCTGTACCCAGATCTCCCTGTTTATTTGTCAGCAAACATTTGACAGCTCTAGGGCTTTTGTTAAAACTACAGTGCACTAATGGGTGTTGGAGTTTCCATCTCTTTCAAGGCAAAAGGCTACCGCTACAGCTCCTTTTCTCAGCTTTCTCTAATCATACTCACACAGCTTCATTACTTGAGTAAAAGTACAAATAGCCCTTGCTAAATTTTACTCAAGTACAATTCAAAGTACTACAGTCAGATGTCTACTAAAGGAAAAGTACTGAAGTACTTGTTTTTTTAAATTACTTGAGTATCAGCAGTACATTTTCTAAATATTGCATACTGTCACAGTGCTTTCATTTATGTACAGAAACGTCCAATATGAAGTTATGAAAAATGTTAATGTTAATACCATGAAAAATGTAAAATCAAGTCATTTTCATCTTTTTACCATGTTGCTTTATTGAACATTTCTCACTTGCCCACAAGGCAATTAGCACAATGGCAACTCTCTGACAAACATCTGATTTTTTTGCACCCACATTTGAACCTGATTGTGTTAAACACACCGCATTCTCAAGAACACCAAAGCAAATGTTTGGCTTACATTAATGTGAAATATCAGAAAAGAAAATTCAGCTAACAATTGTGTGTACATAATCAGTTTCTCTGTTTTTTCATCAATCAAATCAATAAACGGGTTGACACATTCCCGGGATGGACCTAATGCGTGTTCGTCCATGGTTTCGTCTCATCTAAATCTGACCACGGAGTTGACTTTGGCGGAAAGCTGATGGTGATTGCTTATAGGCTGTCCAAATCAGTGGCGCCAGCACAATCCAATCACGTTTGAGAGGGAAACAATAAATTGAGGGTTTCCTAGATTTTTTTTTTCCCTTTTTTTTTTTTTTGGAGGAGTAACGGGTACCCGCGGTTATGGATAGAAATGTAGTGGAGGAAAGAGTACAATATTTGCCTCTCAAATGTACTTGAGTAAAGTCATGAGTACTCCCCAAAAATGATACTCGAGTAAAGTACAGATTTATCAAAATCTACTCAAGTAAATGTACTCCGTTACTGTCTGGCTCTGATCATAATGTATACAGTACATAGTACATAGACAGATAAGTTTTATTAAAAGCATATCCTGAGAACAATGAATTACCAATTTAATGCAATGTTTATATCTCATAGTACTGTTTTAGCTTTAAAATCAATCTAAGTTTAAGACTTTTCCAGTGTAACTTCACAAAGGGGTGTGGCTATACCAATGAAGACCTGAGTGGGAGGGGCTTTAATAATGACACTTCATTTTATTTTAATGTTCATGTCTCCATGGAGGATTCTCATATTGCTGGACCACACTCTCCTCTGTTTCCACTAGGGGGAGAAAGAATATGATAGTGAGCACTTGGTTTACATGATTTACTGTACATATTTAATCCCAACAAAGAGAAAGAAGAAATTGTCCTGAAAAAAGAGGCTATAAACAAAACAGGAGAGCTGTGTTGGTTCAAATGCACAACTGTCTAAAAGTTTCATCTTTGACATGATCCTTCATTCAAATACGCTGAGTTGATGCTGATGAAACATTTATTGTTATTATTATTTTCAGTCGTGCTGCTGGATATTTTTGTGGGAATAGTGAGACATCTTTCCATGAATCTTTGATGAATAAAAAGATCAAACGAAAAGCATTTATTTGAAATAGAAATATTTTTTAATATTATAAATGCCTTTACTGTCCTTTTGATCGATTTCACATGTATTCTTTTTTTCTCTATGTAAAAAAGACAAGTCAATAAATGGTGATTTATGAATATGCGGTCACACTATGCCTCAGGTACACAAAATGACTACAGACACTGAATACACATTGGAAACAGCATGTGATGTCACAATTGTGGGCCATTTAAATAAATAATCAATTATAAATACGATACATTTAAAATATTCAAATATATCTTTTTGCAAATTCACAGGCGAGTTCACGACACTAGAACTTAAACGAAAGACCGCACTTTACTTAAGGCCATCTCTTACCTGTGATCTCCTGGATGTTTAGAGCGATCAGACGCTGAACAACCTCCTCCGTTCCCTCCAAGTTGGACATATCATATCCAGTATAACCTTTCTGCTCAGTGCAGTAACTAATAAACCTACAAACACAATCGTGGAAAAAAATAAATAAAAATGAACTCCCAAGTCCAGAATTCAAATAAAATTTCATTTCATGTTAGTTGGAAATGAACATACCTCCCCCAGGTTGTGTCTGTTTGTAGAACGATGGGGTTTCCCACCACGATCAGCAGGGCTTTTGCTCTCGTCACCGCCACATTGAATCTCTGGAGGAGAGAGTTGTGAGTCAACTTTATTTTCTGGGCTTCAGTGTGTTGTATTGTCTACTGTGTGTGAGAGATACTACCTTCTCATTCTTGAGAAACCCAATATTGAATGTTTCGTCCAAAGTGAAGTGTTCCTTGCTGCTGCGAACTGTTGACACCATAATCACTTTCCTCTCTTGGCCTTGAAACTCCTCTACTGAACCAACCTACACAACACAACACGTACAGCAGTCATTTTTTTGCTCACGTGTCCTGACAAGGATGAGAATGATAACAGAGTGCTCAGACTCGCACTGACCTTCAATTCTTCAATGCCAATGTAGGATCTAAGTTCCCTGTCAATCTTGATACCTTGCCTGATTTTTTCTACCTGTACAATTAAAACAATATTGAAAAATGGTATACAATTATAAAAAAAAATGAATCAAAGTTGTTTCCTATTCAAAACTTGTTTGAATAATGGGCAGCAATCTATGTGGAAAGAAAACAGTAAACAAAAAAGTGTAGACATTTCTGATTGTCCAAATGTAGTGAAGACTAGTTACAATATATATATATATATACACATTTTAAACTAATGCTGTTTTTTTGTTATATTATCACCATTATATTATCATAGTTTCCACAAAAAAATGTTTGCAGCACATTTGTTTTTAACATTGATACTAATAAGAAATGTTTCTTGAGTACCAAATCAGCATATTAGAATGATTGCTGAAGGATCATGTGACACTGAAGACATATGAAGACAGCCTTGGTGAGCAGAAGAGACTTCTTTCAAACACGTAAAAAAAACCTTGTAATGTAACTTGTAAACTTGTTCAGTAATGAAACTGAAAATTCAGCTTTGCCCTCACAGGAATAAGTTACAATTTAAAATATATCAAAATAAAAAATATATATTTTAAATTGTACTGTAACATCTCACAATATTAGAGATTTTACTGTCACATACGAGACTTCTATCAAATGTCATTTAAAAAAAAAAACATACTGACTGCAAAATTTTCCAATGGTAATGCATCTCTGCAAACAACTTTTTTCGAGGGTTTACTTGCTACTATATTGGCAGAATTTTGTGTGTGGTATGCACCAGGTTTGATGTGGCTGAGCTGTTAAAAAGGTATTTTTTTACCTGTTTCCTGTAGGGGGCGATAATACCAATCTCTTTAGGGGAGATTTTTGCAATGCCCTTCTTGGCCTGTGTCAGGAGCAGCTTCTTCAGGTAGTCTAAGATGATATTGATCTCAGAGATATTGAAAAAGGAGGGGCTGTTTGACTCTCTGTCATCCTTTCCAACTACTCCATGGAAAATCACAGGAAATCCCTAAAAAAACAGCAGACCAGAGCAGAATGTGTCATCTCTAAAGGTACAAAAATCGGAGAAAGGAAAGAATCGGATAAAATTATAAGTGAAACCCAACAAGAAGATTAAAAAGGGACCTTGGTTTTGAACTTTACAAATTAACAGAGTAACATCAGCATTACAAAAATGTGGAGACGGGCTCTTCTGGAATAAAAACATCCTTAATCAGCAAGTGTAGCCATGAAATACAACCGAGTTCAAGAAGACCGTTATCTCAGTTTGTGGCCTTCACATTCCTTACATGAATGACTGCTATGTTTGCAGGCACGTGTGGCCCCATAATCTATGTTGACTACATGTAAAAAGTGAATGAGAGAAATTGAAAAGCTCAAAACAACACATTTATAGTAGTTTGTTTAATCTACAACACGCATGCAGGTTAACTCGACTCAATTGGGGACTAG